CTTCCCAAGCAAAAACGACCCAATTTTTTGGGTTATTTATCTAGATTCAGCTCCACGTACATCTAGATGCACGTGGACCTGAATCTAGATAAATAACCCAAAAAATTGGGTCGTTTTTGCTTGGGTTAGTGCATAACACATGTATGTGCTTCGACACGTTTGTACAAATTAGAGCGTGTTTCTGTAGCTACTTGTATAGCTTCTATAGCATAATGGGTATATTTTTTGCGTTCTCTCTCTCCTTTTTCTTTTTCTGCATCCACAAGTGCTTCATATAATATAGACCACCCATTAGAACGAATAAATACCGAAGTGATCTCTACATGAGCGCAACCATTACACTGCAACTGCATAAATGTTTATCTCTTTATGCACCTAGCATGTTTGAGAGGAAACAGTTTTGTCGCATAAATCTGAATATATCAAAAAAAAGTTGCATATAGAATTGCTGAGAATTCGCGTTCGATATGTGGGTTCCAGATATTTCCTAACATTTTAGAATCTACTTGAATATTTATCTTCAACCTTTTAGTACTATTTTATTTCTTATTTTGAATAACTTTCACTCATCTAACTTTTTCTGTCTTTGCGTAAAGCAATAACACAAAATTGTTTACATTTATGTTGATGATATTGCGTTCTATGTATTATACGATTAAGTGTAGGTAAATGAAGCTAAATAAAATGATAATAAATCGATTCAAGAAGCAGATTACAATCAAATATGACCTTTAAAAAATTATAACAAAATTCTGATTGAACAGGAACTGATAAGAACTGCAGCTTTGAATCAAATGTATACGAGAAAGTATATGTAAAAGATATCTGTACGATTTTTAGCCTTTCGACTTCGAACAAGTTTCTAATCTTGCTCAAAATTACTAAATAAAAAGAAAATCACTTTTCAGATCTATTTTTCCTCGGCAGAAGATGCATATTGATGTATACCTTATAGTGTGATCACCAGATTCAAAATAGCGTTGTTGTATTTTCAGAAATATTTTATTCGGTAAGCCAAGATCGGATAACAGTAAAATAATTTGGTTATTCAACGGTGTTGGTACTACACAAAAGAAAATATTCACAAAAGTCTTATGTCAATCCCTTTCACTTTAAACGTCATTACTTGGTTTACTCAAATCACACATATCCAAGGTCCAATCGTCAGATTCAAATTTTAGCATTGATGGCCTAATTTTAATATAAAATTGATCAAATGTTGATGATGAATCAATGATGACAAGACCTTTAAAACCAGCAAGACGTATTTGATATGCAGATGAACCGGATGAAGTCTAAGAAAAAGTCAAGAAATCATTTATTCCAAGAGAATGGTTAATATAAAAGTAATATTATATCTACTTGTTTATCAAATAATTTTGTTTTCATCGATTTTTTTAGCTGAACCTTTGGATATCAAATCATTACCATCCGTAAAATTGTAACCGTTATGTTTAATATGGTCGATCATTATCAGACATGGTTGGAATTGTTCTACACATAGATTAAAGTCTTCTTCATTTGCACAATAACGAAGTTGAAACTGAAAGGAAACAAAAATAATTTATTATACGTTTTCTAAGAGTTCAGATATGAGATAGGTGAGTACTAGAAAGACGATAAGATAATGGACACGACGCAGTAGTGGATGAGATACAGTCAATGCATCGATCAAAGCGGAATTAAACAGGACAAACAAGAAAGTTTTTCAAAAAAATTTCTTGATTTCAAAGAAAATATAGACATTTTGAAGTAATGGATTAAAACAAACCACCAGCAAATTTATTTCTTGTCCACTCTGAAAAAAAAACCACTACAGCAGCATACATCAAACACTTAATATACCGATATTTACACTGCTGTGAACCGACGTTATCACGGACAGTACCGCGAAGACTTGTTTATTGAAAAAGAAGAATAAGTGAGTATGGTTTTAAGTTTTGAAATCTGAGTGTTAAATAGTCATTATGTGATACAGTTACAGATGTACAATTTTACATCATGAAAATATGTTTTGTCTGAAACTACTTTTCAAACTCACTCTCACACTATGACGTAATGTCTCTCTTAAAAATACGTGCTGTCGAGTCTCGTTCCATCATCTGTCTATACCACACGTGTCTCTGTCACACGGAAATGGAGCGTCCGTCTACTAGTGATTGATTCTTTTCTGAGTACAATTACAATTAATACGAATAATTTTAATCAAATTAAACAGCCACATTTGGGCATAAATTCTATAACCGTAAAAAATATTGTACATGAATGAAGTAAAGTTAAAGATGAAAGAATTTAACAGTGACACTGTTTTTCTTCTCCCCATTATTTTCTTGTTTGCACTACATCTACACATTTAAACATGTACTTTTTGCCGGCATTATCCGGAAATCGCCGTCGTCGCGGATTCTTATGTTAAAGTGTAAACGTGCATAATTCAGGATGAGGGTGGAGCACTTCTTCACCCACTTCACTCTCACTTCTCCACCCTCACTCGCCGCGAGTCCGTATACGTTAAAGTGTTAACACAAAATCCGCGGGGACGGCGAATTTCCGGATCTTACGTTTTTGCCGTATAATTCCACAATGAGACACGAGGAACCGATGCTATATTTAAAGAAGAGCACCTTTTCTTTTATATATAAACGTTTTTTTGTTTCTTTATTTCTGCATGTGTTCGAATGAAGTCTTAGACGAAGAGACAAAATTTTTCTTTCGATACTTTTACAACGTGTCTTGTTTTTCTACAGATTGTGCAATAAATGAATTAAGTTGCAACATGCAGAAAACTACTTTTTTTTGTATATTTT